GTGGAGAGAGGAGAGAGGGGTTACTGACCCATCAGTTACTGACAAGATCCGCTCCCGTGAGGGGAGAAGATCGGGATGTCGTGCTTTCCATTTTGTAACGATTTATAATTTGGTTCGGCCTGGCCAAACCGAAATACAAATTGGTTTCAGTCTTGGAGGATATTGAAGTATTGGTATCCCTTATTCGGTTCGGTTTGCCCACCCCTAATTGATTGTACTCTTCACTGACACTCCTCCTATTATTTTTAAGTAATCGATGCCCACCCCTAGTTGATTGTAATCTTCACAGACACTCCTAATATTTTTAAGGGGAATAGGGATTACCAATCAACCTTTAATATTGGCAAATCATCTTTCCATTTTGTATCATGTTTTTCTCCAACTCTGAGCAGTGTTACACCAAATTGACATGCATTATCATGTGGCAACCAACTGTGTCTATTTAAACTAAGAGATAAATGAGAACGGAACCAAGTTTATAATTTCACTTTCCAAACAAAACTTTCAGTTCACCATCATATGAAGGGGTGTACATGGGTCGGGTTGTCCGAGATTAGTCATTTTAGGTGACTCATACACTACGATTTTGAAAATGCTAAACCCAAACCCACCCAAAAAATAAGAACCGTACGACTTGTATATAGTAGAGTTGGGTCGGGTGGATGATACTTTTTATGTAAAAATCTAACCAAACACAAAAAACGCAACTATTTTACACCAAAAATATCATAGAACTAATTAAAATTTCAAACAAATAAATCAAGATGAAAAGTATCAAAAAGCATAGATGTTATTATGATTTGAATGAAATGCAATTTGCTTCAACATATGTCTAATTTTTTTCCACAAACATTTGTCGTAAGAAGCTAAAAATATCATAAGCGGACACATCTATAATATGTTATTCTTCTAAAATTGTAACAAAAATATTACTTGAAGCAGAGCCTATATTAAATTATGCCTACATTTTAAGTAGAATAATGCGATAGGTTAGGGAGACGACGAGATAAAAATATGACCAAATATCTTAATTTTCTCTCAAACATGCTTAAATATGACACAAATATGTTTTGGATATGAACACTTATGAAAATAGTTGGAACACGGATTGAATCAGGTTCTATGGGTTACGTAACCCAAAATCCGTAGCCTACCCACAAGAGGCGAGTTGCACAATATAAAATGCTCACACAACCTTAAACCTTAATATTCACGATAAATATCGATGGAGTGGATCGAATTGGACGGATGGGTCAGATTGCGGTTCTTTTTGTTAGCCCGCAAACACAACCCATCTACAATCAATTAGGTATATGAGATACTCTACGTCCAATTTCGGGGTATGGATTGGCTGCAAATATTCGAGAGCCAATAAAAATAATTTTTTTAATATGCTATATCTTGAATTTTGAAGAAGTTAATAAAAATTTGATGTTGTTGGGATATGAGTCTAAACCCATAAAACTGAGGAGGTTGAGGGACAATCGATAATTGAAGGATTTTTTAGTGATAACAATTCAAAGATTTTTTTGAATGTGCTTCTCTCTAATTAGATGTCAAACCTAAAAGCTTTATAGCCACCTAGTTTTCCCTTTCATATTCTGCAAAGTCAATCACCATTCAAAATTCATCGAATCATCTCTCATATCTTATATATCCAAATCCATTAACAATTATAGAAAAGTAATTTAATTATCCAAAAGTAAAAGTTATGTTTGTTCCAGCCCGATCTACATTTGTGAAAGGTAGGATTATTAGTGATAATATCTTAATGGCATCAGAGTTAGTTAAGGATTAGCACAGATCTTCCATTACCTCTCGCTGTGTAGTGAAGATTGATCTAATGAATGCATTTGATTAAGTTAATTGGCAGGTTTTGTTTCGAGTAATGACAACAATGGGATTCCTAGATTTCTATATTGAACTTGTTCGTACTTTTGTGATATCGCCTAGCTTCAGAATAGTTTTTAATGGTGGTCTTTATGGGTCATTTAATCCTGGTAAAGGACTAAGGCAAGGGGAACATCTTTCCCCTTACCTTTTTCCCATTTCCATGGAGATTATTTACTGCTTGTTACATAAAGCTGCTATTAAGAATCAAGTACCTTTCCATCGTCGGTGTAAGAAGTTGGATATTACACACCTTTGTTTCGCAGACGATCTATTAGTTTTTTCAAACGGGTTTGTTAGGGAAGTTGCAAGCATTTGAAGATTGTTGGAGGAATTCTATAGGATTTATGGTCTTAAATGCAATCCCGAGAAGAGTCAGCTCTTCTGTGCGGGTATTTCGGATGAAGAGAAAGAAATTATCTCTTGTACAAGGTTCCCTCTTGGCTGCCTTCATGTTCGCTACCTAGGTGTCCCACTGATTTTAGGTAAGCTCAGTAAGGTTGAGTGTCAAGTCTTGGTAGATAGGATCACTGCTCGTATTAGGGGTTGGCATGCTAAGACATTAAGCTATGTTGGAAGGATACAATTGATTTCCTCTGTCATCTCTAGTGTTCTACAATTTTGGATGAGTGTTTTTGTCTTGCCAGCAGTTATCCTGAAGGAAATAGAGAAGCTCTGTAACAATTTCTTGTGGGGGGTCGGCGAAGGGAGTTCTATGCTTAAAGAGCCAGCTGCCTGGTCTTTTGTAGTGTTGCTCAAGTCAGAGGGTGGTCTGGGGATCAAGGATTTCCGTATGTGGAACAAATTTTGTGTTATAAGTCACCTGTGGTCAATCCTGGCATGTAGTTGATCCATTTGGGTTGTGTGGATTAAAACCTATAGACTCAAGTCCAAACTATCTGGGAAGTCTCTTCTACTCAGTTGGATCTTGGGTTTGGAAGCATTTTCTCAAACTTCGGTCTATTGTTGTTGGGTTTATCGCAGGGATTGCTGGTTCTCTTCTGTTGGATGGTACTTTTATGGCCCGTTATTTAGTGTCGAAAGGATGGAATAACATCAGAAGCTCTTCCCCATGTGTTGGTTGGGCGGAATTAGTTTGGGGTAAGTACTCCATTCCCAAATATAGTGTCTTGGCTTGGATGATTGTTTAGGATAAGATCACTAATACTGACAAGCTCTTACTGTGGGGGAAGTCTATTTCTAGGTATTTGTGTTGTGCCGGGGTGGTTTAGAGTGTAGAGATCACTTGTTTGGTGGATTTTATTTCTTTACTTACATCCCGCAAGCTGTATTCTCTGAAGCACCTCCTGCAGCTCTTGGTGACTGGGAATCTACTTTGAACTGGGCATCGAGGTTGTGGAAGGATAACTCTGATCCTGCTTGCGTTGGCAGACTATTGTGGCATTTGGTGATTAAACATGTTTGGAAGGAGATGTGTCATCGATGGTATGGAGAGGGAAGTCTTTGTACTCCTCTGCAAATTTTGGCAAGCATTCGTACAAAAATTAATTGCAAAATCTTTACATATCCCCAGGTTGCTCCAATTCTAGATAGTTTCTTTCTGCATTGTTAGAGTTGGATGGTTGCAGATTCAAGTCCTTGAGCATGTAAACATATGTATCCTATTAGAATGTAATTGAAGAAAAAACAGAGGGAAAAAAACAGAGTCAATTTTCTTATATAATATTATTCATGTAATCTACAAAATACTATAAGGCAATGTCAATATATTGATATTTCCACGTCAACCCATCCTGATTAATCCGCACAGTGCGGAAGGACCAATTCTTCATTTCGTAACCCTCCTCTCTCTTTCGCTCTGTACCTCAACCCGCTCTTGAAAAACACAACTGCTCCCCAAAATCTTCCTCCGCTGTGGTTGCCTTCCCTTTCTCCGCCCTGTCACTTCCGTCTTCCTTCCTTCCATCATGTAGATTGAGTCGAGCGCGAGACTCCGGCAACGATCCCCTCTTCTTTTGGAATGATCAAAGCTCTGTGTAACCCTAATTTTTGTTTTGACAAGAACAAGTGAAGAGAATAGGGTAAATTGAAGAATGAATCGATACAGAGGATAGAATGACTTCCCTTTCATGTTTACCAACACGACACCGAATTTGGAATTGAAACTTGAAGTGAATTGGGCTTGGTTCGGTCACAATCTGTCAATCTTATGTTGGCCCAATTTATTTGATTTGTACGCTGCGTTTAACTCACTTTCTGCTCTTTCTCCTTGAGCAAGTCGATCAAACCTGTTCTGCACAAAAACTCAAACGAGAACTAAACCAAGAACACAGATAAGAACTGGAGATGGACTGAAACGAAATAAAAGCGAAAGATAAACAAGGACACTGTATTTTTACATGGTATCCGGTGTTACTTGATTAATGAACCTAACACCGACTAATCCACGGTCGAAGGATCTCTGATTTGATACCTTTGACGTTCCACTATGATAATCGTTGATTACAAAGTGGCACCGGTTGATCTCAGAGTGACTCCCCGTCACCTGATCAGAATCTCACTGTAGAGTTTGCTCCCTGCAACTACTCTACCCTGATATCACAATTCGGTAACCTGAGTTCTCTCCCTGACAACTCTGTTCTTTTTCTTTCTCAAACACTCTGTCAAAACACTTTGTTTTCTTGCTGAGAATTTTCCTGAAAAAGATGAAAATCACTCTACCCAGAATCCCTGCTTTTTATCATTTGCTTCAGTTGACCGTTGCTTGCAGATCAATTTGCATTCCTTGATTGCTTTGATTGATCACATCATCTGAAATTTCCCTTTTTTGATGAACCAGAATTTCTAAGATTACTTGCCCTTCTTGCTTTGCTTGAAATCTTGATGCCATTGACCAAGCTTCCTTCAACAAACTCCCCCTAAGCTTGTCATTGGCTCACTTGGTTACCTGCAAACATTAACACACAATTGGTGCAGTCTGTTCCAATCGAGATATCTAAAAAGCAAGGTTGAATAGAAGGAAAATATAGGAGAATCTTATTATTCATTGTTCAGACTAGAAGAACAATCACATTGACTTCACACCTATTATGACAACTTCTACATACCCAGATTCTAGATCCTCTCCCTGTGACTATTACCCATAACATCTAGAAGGGATATTCTGGTGGAGATTCGTACTCCGAAATTTTGTCTTCTGTTTCTGACTCAGAGTCATAACTGATTGAGTCATTTACTGCTCCTGACCCATACACAAATTTGGGCCACATTAAGTCTTGTTGCCTCAGCCGCTTTAGAGCAGTATACTGTTTGCCTATACTTGAAGATTCTTGCTTGATGACTGACATAGATGCATCAACAAAGAGCATCCACAAGTCTCGCAGATGCATAGGATGCAGGACTCGTTATAACTCCCCCTGAGCCAGTGACAGGCTTACGGGGGCCAACCTCGGCATTGAGTTTGGCTAGAACATGTTGAGGTTTAAGATCATCCAGGACATTACAGAGCGTGACCTTATCACGCAAATCAATGCCCAACTTATACAGAAGTTTGGTGACTTGGGGCCCAAAAGGTAGGGGACCAGTACTCAAGACCAAACTTAATGAGGTGGGAGAACATGAGTGAGGCATAGCTGATTAGAAGACCTTCTTTAGCATTAGATAGGATCCATAAATCAGCAGAGTGAAGAAGATCAGTGCTAGAGAGATCATGAGGTAGAAATGTCCGAGTGATGAAGAAATGAAGCATCTTCAAGTCATCTGGCAGACGACCAGCCGCAAGCGGAGAAGGAAAGAAATCCCTGATATCACGCGTATAGCGAGCAAGAGCAGCATCAAATCGAAAACCTCGAGAGGCAAACTCTCTATCTGTGCCTGCTCGAAGACCCGTGTGAGGAAGATTGAGAAGGTTTGCTAAGAGAGCAGGAGTAACTGTGATATCATAATTGAACACAGTGGTTGTGAAGAATGCAGGGTCGCACCCGGGACCCGGAACAAGATTGATATAAAACAAGCGTACTGCTTCTGGACAATAGCTAAACCTCATGTTCTCAGTCAATGATCCCCAGCCCATCAATGAGAGAGGTTACGTTCATGTCATACTTGGAGAAGCCAGAAGGCTGAATGGAGAAGGAAGGGTGGATGGGATGATCTCGGAATCTGCAAAGATATCGAGAATAGGCAACAGGGCTACTAAACCCTTTGTCGCTAAACACTGCAGCAAGATGCAGTTGAGCATTGTTGTAGGCCATTTTGTCTGCTAATGGATGACACGAGTATTTTAGGTTAGAGTGGGCTTGATGGAAGAAGATCAGATCCTAGTGGAGGGGTAATATATAGTGAGTCCTAACCCTAGTGGAGTTTCGAGAAGGGGAAATAGGGGTAAGGTGCCATGAATGTTTGATTTAATCAAGCAATCAATCGTTATGTAAGCGAGGAAAGTTTATATCCTTAGAATCATAAATATTCAATCTCGTGAAGAGAGAACAACCCAAGTTCACGGCGAATAGGAAGAAATTTATCCACCCCAAGAGGTTTGGTGAATATGTTAGCCCACTGCATATCAGTGCTAATGAATTCTAGACCTATCTTACCTTCTTGGACCAAGTCACGAATAAAGTGATATCGGACTTCAATATGCTTGGTCTGAGAATGTTGGATTGGATTTTTGGTCATGTTAATTGCACTTGTGTTGTCACACAGGATAGGTAGAGTACCAACTACTATACCATAGTCTTGAAGCTGGTATTTCAACCATAAGAGTTGAGTGCAACTGAGTCCAGCAGCAACATATTCTGCCTCAGCAGTTGATAGTGCTATTGAACTCTGTTTTTTACTTGCCCAAGAAATCAGAGAGGTTCCAAGAAAATGTCAAGTACCAGATGTACTTTTTCTATCAACAGTGCATCCAACATAGTCTGAATCACTGTAACTTACAAGTTCCAAGCTAGAATCACATGAATACCATTAACCTAAGTGAGAGGTACCACTTAGATATCGGAAAATCCTCTTGACTGCAGACAGATGACTCATTTTAGGACACCCTTGAAACCTCGCAAAGACACAGACACTGTACATTATATCTGGTCGACTAGCAGTCAGATATAACAAAGACCCTATCATCCCACGATACATTCTTTCATCAACAAGGATCCCAGTTTTATCTGTTGTTAATTTTACTATTGAACCCATTGGCGTTAAGGCAGTTTTGAGATTCTGAAGTTTGAACTTTTTGAGCATGTTAAGAAGATATTTGGTCTGACTTATGAAGGTTCCTTGCTTAGTTTGTTTAACTTGCAGCTCAAGGAAGCAGTTAAGTTCACCCATGAGACTCATTTCAAAAGCACTCTTCATATCATTTTCAAATTCTTTACAAAGAGCAGTGTTAGTGGAACCAAAGATTATATCATCCACATAAACCTGAACTAACAAGGTGTGAGAGTTTTCATTTTTAATGAATAATGTTTTGTCAACTGCTCCTCTATGGAATCCTTTCTCTAACAAGAATTGACTTAATTTTTCGTACCAAGCTCTAGGAGCTTGTTTAAGTCCATATAAGGCTTTGTTGAGCTTATAGACGTGATCTGGAAATTCATAGTCCTCAAACCCAGGTGGTTGAGACACATAGACTTCCTCGTTTATATCCCCATTTAAAAATGCACTCTTTACGTCCATTTGATACAGTTTGAAACCCTTAGATGCAGCAAAGGCACATAGTAACCTTATAGCTTCTAATCTAGCTAAAGGAGCAAAGGTTTCCTCGAAATCTATACCCTCTTCCTAATTTAACCTTGAGCCACTAACCTTGACTTATTTCTAACAATCTTCCCTATTTCATCATATTTGTTTCTATAAATCCATTTAGTTCCAATAATGACTCTGTTGGAACTAGTTCCCATACATTGTTTCTTTTAAATTGGTTCATTTCTTCATGCATTGATGCATTCCAGTATTCATCATCTAAGGCTTCCTTAACATTCTTTGGTTCAATGAGTGATACAAATGCAGTATGAGCATCCGAAGTTCTGGATCGAGTGATAATACCTTGTTTTATGTCGCCAATGATCTGAGTAGGAGGATGGCGTTTTCTTGTGTGAGGTGGAGCTTGACGTTCCCCTTCCCTCATTTTCTTGTTCAGTTCTCCCTCTGTGTCATGATCTTCAGCAACAGTCTCCCTTAGAGTGTCTTCTGAATTTGTTCTTCCAAGACCAAAATCCTCTATGTCATCTAAGCTGTCTGCACACTCACTCGAAGACTCATCAAAAATAACATTTATGGACTCCTCAACCTTGAGGGTCCTTTCGTTGAATATTCTATAGGCTCTGCTGTGTGTCGAGTAGCCTAAGAATATTGCTTCATCAGATTTAGCATCAAATTTACCAAGATTATCCTTGGTATTCAAAACAAAGCACTGACATCCGAATGGATGGAAGTATTCCAGGTTGGGTTTTCTTTCTTTCCATAGTTCATATGGGGTTTTATTTAGATTGGTACGAATTAAAGCTCTGTTGGTTACATAGCAGGCAGTGTTAATTGCCCCTGTGCATAAATGTTTTGCTAATCCGTAATCATTCAACATGGTTCTGGCTATGTCGATCAAAGTTCTGTTTTTCCTTTCTACCACTCCGTTCTGCTGAGGAGTCCTAGGAGCTGAGAAGTTGCGAGAAATGCCACTTTCCTCACAGAAGCAGTTAAATTCATCAGAAATAAACTCTCCTCTATGATCACTCCTAATGTTGACAATTTTGTACCCTTTTTCATTTTCAAGTTTTCTAGACAGAACTCTAAAGTTTTCAAATGTTTCATCTTTTGACGCAAGAAACAGAACCCAAGTGTCTAGAATAGTCATCCACAACAACAAATGCATACTGTTTTCCCAAGACTTTTGATATTTGTAGGTCCAAACAGATCCATATGTAACAGTTCTATAGGTCTTTTAGTTGAAATTACAGACTTGCTTTTGAAGGAAGACCTAGCATGTTTACCTTTTGCACAAGCGGCACAAAAGAACTCCTTTTTATTGTGATTTTGGGAATACCTCTAGCTAGTTCAAGGTTTACTAATTTTGATAAAATTCCTACACTCACATGTCCTAATCTCCTGTGCCATTCCATTTGATCATTTTTATCCACTGTTACCAAGCAAGTTTCATTGAATAACGTTTTATCATTCAAATCTATAACAAACAATTTTCCCTTTCTTTTTCCAGTGAACAAAATCTATTTACTCAAAATGTTTTCAACATAGCAAGAGTTAGGTTCAAAGACTACTCTGTTCTCAGTACCACACATTTGACTTATGGATAACAGATTATGTTTAAGACCTTCAACTAACATGGCATTTTTAATTGTCGGATTCGATCCTACCTGACCCTTCCCTAGAATATTTGTGCTATAATTATCACCAAAGTAGACTCTACCTTTCTTTCCTAGGGTAAGTTTTGAAAATAATTCTTGTATACCTGTCATGTGATGTGAGCATCCGCTGTCCAAGATCCATTCACTGTCATCCATGCTCACTTGGAGACAGACCTGCATAATTATGATTTTACTTGATTTTTGGTATCCAAACCAGTTTGGATACTATATGTGTTATGTTACAGTGTTTCTTTAAGTGTCCTGAACAACCACATTTATGACACTTTTTGTTTTCTTTTGCAATTATTTTTCTGCAGTTAGCAATGTAATGACCTTCCTGATGACAGTAAAAACACTCAACAACGGTTGACTTTCTTTTCTTTGTGACACGATCAGTTTTAGCATTTGATGATTTATTAGTGATCCATCTTCTTATGCTAGAATGACTCTCATTACCACACTTGCAATTTGTAGTGTTCTGTACTGCTTTTAGATTTAGAAGATCAGCCTTAAGAGCTTCATTTTCAAGCAGACACTGTTTTAGTTGACTTTTAACATCCTGCTTTTCTTCTTTCAGCCTATTACAGACTCTGTTTATGTGTAGAAATTCATTCTTCAGCTTAGCATGCTTAAGTCTAACATTTTCGAATTCTTCTTGAATGTTTTTAATTGTATCAATCATTTCTTCTGTTTCACTATAAGTATCAGAATAATAGTCAAGATGACTTGCCTGAGGTGATTTGGAGTCATCATCACTCATTCCCAGACCCATGTAGGCATTGTGCCTTGCTTCATCACCATCCTTTTCTTCTTCACTACAACTCCAGGTTGCAGTGTATGCCTTTTCCTTTTTCATCATTGGGCATTCAGCCTTTATGTGACCTAATCTTCCACATTTGAAGCACCCAGCCTGTGGTGACTGCTTCTCAGTTGAAGCTCCTTCTTTCCTCAGTTTTGGCAGTGATTGATTGAATTTAAGTTGATCATCACTTTCTCTGGAACGATTTATCAGCCCTCCTCGTCTCTTCTCTTTT